ATAGATATCTGTTAAACCCTGTCAGATACTTTGTTTCTTTGTTAAGTTTCTGTCTGGTGGTCCTGTCTAGTGGTGTAAAGGGGTGTTGAAGTCTCCTACAATAAGAGTGTGTGGTTTTATTTGTGGTTTGAGCTTTAGTAATGTTTCTGTTACAAATGTGGGTGCCCTCGTATTTGGGGCATAGATGTTCAGGATTGAGACTTCATCTTGATGGTCTTTTCCTGTGATGAGTATGAAATGCCCTTTTTCATTTCTTTTGACTGATTTTAGTTTAAAGTCTAATTTGGTAGATATTAGGATTGCTATCCCAGCTTGTTTCTTGAGCCCATTTGATTCGAAAATTTTTTCCATTTCTTTTTACTCTGTCTTTGCAATTGAGGTGTATTTCCTGTAAACAGCAGAAGGATGGATTCTGTCTTCGTATCCATTCTGTTAGCCTATATCTTTTTATGGGTAAGTTGAGACCTTTGATATTTAGGGATATTAATGTCCATTGTTCATTGGTTCTTCTTTGTTTTGGATTTATTGTTGGTGGTGTCATTGTGTGTGGATTTTGCCCTCCTGTTTCTTTTTGTGTTTGGTAATATTAGATTATCTATTGCCTGTGTTTTTGTGAGTGTAGTTATGTTCATTGGGTTAGAGATTTCCTTCCAGAACCTTCTGTAGTGCTGGATTTGTGGATATGTATTGTTTAAATCTGCTTTTGTCATGGAATATCTTGTTTTCTCCATCTATAGTGATTGAAAGTTTTGCTGGGTACAGTAGTCTGGGTTGACATCCATGCTCCCTTAGTGCTTGTAGGGTATCTATCCAAGACCTTCTGGCTTTCAGAGTTTCCATTGAGATGTCGGGTGTGATTCTGATTGGTTTGCCTTTATATGTTACTTGACCTTTTTCTTTGCTGCTCTTAATATTTTCTCCTTATTGTTTTGATTTTTATGTGTTGGGGGGACTTCTTTTTGTGGTCCAGTCTGTTTGGTGTCCTATAAACTTCTTGTACTTTCATAGGCATATCCTTCCATAGGTTGAGGAAGTTTTCTTCTATGATTTTGTTGAATATGTTTTCTTTACCTTTGAGCAGTGTTTCTTCACCTTCTTCTATACCTTCTATACCTTCTATTCTTATGTTTGGTCATTTTACTTTGTCCCATATTTCCTGGATATTTTGTGTTAGGGATTTGTTGGACTTGAGGTTTTCTTTGGTTGATGAATGTATATCCTCTAGCGAGTCTTAAATAGCTGAGATTCTCTCTCCCATCTCTTGAATTTTATTGGTTATAATTACATCTTTAGTTCCTGATCGTTTATCCAGCCTTTCCATTTCCAGCATCGCTTCATTCTGTGTTTTCTTTATTGTGTCTAATTCAGCTTTCATGCTTTGAACTGTTTCAAGAACTTCCTTCACTTGTTTGGATGTTTTTTCTTGGCTTGAATTTTTTGGTTTGTCTTTTCCTCCATTTCATGTAATTTTTTGTTTGCTTTTTCTTCTATTTCTTTAAGGGATTTTCTTGTTTCCTCTTTAAACGTCTCTATCTTCTTGCTGAGATAATCTCGGAGTCCCTAGATTCTGGTGGTGTCATATTGGTCTCTCTGTTGTTAAAATCTTATTCTGTCTTCTTCCCATATCTTCTTTTATTGGGTTCAGGTGGGGTCTCTCTATCTCCTCTTGTGACCCAGTGGTGTGTGGGAGCCAGGAATTCAATGTCCACAACTGTGGATAGTCTTGCCTCTCCTGGTAGTCTCCTCACTCGTTGTGGATCAGTTGGCAGAAAGAGATGATAGAGTGGGGTGTTTTCAGATTCAGGGAACTCCTCCTTGTCTGTTCATGTCTACCCCAAGCAGGCGGGTACAGGCCCGGGGTGGTCGGGGAGTGATGGTTTGGCTGGGGATTGGGTAAGGGCAGAGGCTCACTGACCTCGTTCCAGGGTCAGTTGACAGAAAGGGATGGAAGAGTGGGGTGCTACCAGATTCACGGAGCAGGGAGCTTCTCCCTGCCTGGGTGTGTCTACCCCAAGCAGGCATGCACAGGTGCGGGGGGGGGAGTGAGGATGTGAGGTGGGTCAGGTGGTCGGGGTGAGTGATGTTTTGGGAGGGAGTTGGGTAAGGGCAGAGACTCACCTAGTTCCTGGGTCGGTTGGTGGACAACAATCTTGTTTATAATTCAAATTAAAAAAACCTTATAGGGCACAATGATACAAGCTTGTAATTTTAGCAATATGGAAAACTGAGACACAGGAATAATGAGTTTGAGGCTATACTGGACACCACATACCACAAAGTGAGAACCTCTGACAAGGAAAATAAGCATACAAAGTTTTTTGAGGCCTTTCCATTGGATTTTATCTTAGTCAGTTATATAACAAGAGAAATTACAGGCATATGTGCTCCAAGATATAGCCATTATTTGAATACATGCAGGAATTGTCCACACATGTAAATTTTTGGCATTTTATTCTATTTATTGCCTGAATTCTTTCCTGTATCTTAATTTATCCTTTAAGCCAAATATAATAAATCATTTTGGACATTTATGTTTGAGTATTCAAGTTGTTAAGCAGATTGGACTTACAGACAGTTTTTTAAAGTCATATCATCATCTGCTGGCATTGTTTGCTTGTTTGATCTCCATCATAAATAACCCAAATTGTAGAAAGGGCATCTAATGTTTGTGAAGGAATTGGTCCAATCAGCTACCTTGACTTTATAACAACTATTCATTTTAAATTACTGCCATACTCTTGTCATTTGTACTCTCTAGCATCTACAGAGTGTGACTGAGGCAAATGGTATTTGATGAAATAAGCAATACTTGTTGCATTCTTAATGTATCCCTTTGGGTGCTTTAACAACAGTGTTTCCAAAGAGGAGTAGACCAGGGAAGATGACACAATCTGAATGTTGGCATACTGATTCATGTGATGGGACCTCAGATAGAAAATTAATGGGGTAAAGAAGAAAGGCTGAGCCTTGAATTCCATCTCTGTTTCCTCCTGAGCATCACAAACCACTTTTCTCCACTCATACCTTCACTTCTATGATGGACTGTCGAAAAAAAATCCTTACTTCCTAAGTTGTTTTCTAGAAGATATTTAATCACTGTGATAAAAAAGTATCCAAAACAAGTAATCATATGTACATCTTGGGAATTGTTGCCTGGAACAATAAACTGAGAGACACTGAAAAGGACAGTCTGATTACTTAGGATACTATCCTAGGTGGTTATATGCTGTACAGAGAATTCATTTATCCTTTTATCCACTGACATCAGTGTCTTATTCAGGTCTCTGCTTCCCAAGTGGGGAGGGAGTATTACCAGTGCATTGCTTTCAAGATTAGCTAGGTAACAAGATTTATATATAAAAAATGAATTCATGGTATTGGAGACATATACAGGGAATGATTTAATGAAAAATATTACTTATCTTAAAAGGAAATATGTTAGTAAAGTACTTAAACTGTTTAATTTATAGTACTTTGACAATATTAAAGTATGATGAATGAAGAAAACTTAATAATCTTTTTACTATTTAGAGGCTTTCTAATTAGATAAAACAAGCAATTAAATTCACTTATAAGGGCATCCTTGTGAAGCTAGATAAGCTATTTTATTTCTGTTGGTCTCAATGCACCATCCAAATTTAATTTTGTCAATTTTACTTTCCAATTAAGTTCAGAAATGCTAAGAATGGTTTGCCACAATTAAATGTCATTTAGGCTCCATTTTTTTATTCAGTGGTGAAATATTAATGACCTACCACTTAGGCTGTCCTACATTTAAGGACCTGAATGTGTAAAAGTCAGTTAACATACAGCCTATTCTGACAAGTATTCAAAGTAGGAAAAAAGTCAATTAACTTGCTTTAATTGCACATTTGCTTTGTTACAAAACACAATGTTTTGTGTCACTGTCAATTGCTTGCCTGTATTAAAATCAGGACTTAGGGACTTATTTTTAGATTTGTTTTGTGACTGCATTTGAAGGACTGCTTGTGTATCATGAGATGAAGAAAATGTGAACACAGAGATAGCAAAAACACAGTCCAGTGTACAGTATAGCACCATAAAAGTTCATAATCATGTTGAACAGTTAACTCCAAATGTTAGACTAAAATATTTTGATATTGATGAGCTGTTGTTATTTCCTTAAATTGTCTAAAAGTTTCTTCACATATTTTTAGAAGAGTCTGGCAAAATTCAGCACTTAAAAGCTCCCATAATTTGTTGGATTGCCTGGGGGAATGCTACTTTCACCCTCCTTGTCTTCCTGTTCCTCTCACTTCTCGTACTCCCTGTTTTTTTCTCCAGTCCCCTCTTCCCATTTCTTTTCTCTCCCTCTCCTCTCCTCTCTTCCTCCCCCTCTCTTTGTACAGCCAAGTCTAGCCACACATTCTGAGCAATCATCCTGCTTTTCCCCTTAATTCACCACATCTGAATAGATCTGTAATTTTACAATTCATTTATTATTACACATGTATGTGTATGCTTGCATGAATTCTAATTGTTTGTGTGTGTGTGTGTGTGTGTATGACTGAATGTGTACCACATGTGCACAAGTACCTATGGAAGAATCCAGGATGAGAGATCATATCCCTGGAAGTGGAATTATGAGCAAACTCATGTTGTCTGCAAGAGCAGTAAGTGCTATTAATCACTGAGTCAACTCTCCAGCCTATTCTACAAATACGGTAAAGTTTTGCCTTTGACGGCACTGAATAGCTAAGTAAACAGAGAATTAAATTGCTCATCAATGTTTCTCTTTTATGTCGCCTAATCTAGTGTTATTAAGATTTTTGCATACTTCATATTGAAGGGCAAATGGGGCTAGGCAATGGAAAAGAAAAAAATTAACTAACACACATAAAGAAAGAATACTTTTATGATCTCCCTATTGCAGCAAGGAGGGGTCAGTACTATTTACAAAAGAGACCTACTTTCAGCTCAGTGCACATATACAATTCAGATGATAGAAGATAGTTTTAAAGCTGATTTTCTGTTTGCAGGCCCATGCTCATGCCAAGTGAGCTAACATAACTTGACCAGCTGAGCTAGTCAAAGTACTTAATAGACTCATCTAAGAGCTCTACAAGAGTGGCTTTTTGCATACAACAACAGGGCCTGCAGCTGTCAGGTTTCTTCAGCTGTCATCAGCAGGCATCACTGACATCAACTAGAATTACCATTGAGGAACTGAAATGTAGACACCGGCATTGCTCTGCCCTTACACAAGCAGCTGCCTGAAGGTCAGTGTTCCATGTCTGGAGGAGGGAAATTTGGCAGCAAAGTGGTTTGTGCATTGACTCAACAGCTGTAATCATCTGTCTGTGTGTCTTAGCAGGGAGTGTAAGACTGAGCTCTCAAGACTAAAATGACTTCTTCAAATCTACAAGGAAGAATTTTTATTTACATACTCAGTTTCACCTTCATCAAAATGCTTTCTTTTGTAAGTTTCTTTGGTTACAATGTCTTATCACAGTGATAGAAAAGAAACGAAGACACTTATCAAATAATAAGTATTTCAAAATGTGCTTGAATAATAAGATGTTAATGATTATTAATGTCAGTGATTATGTAATTCATTGTTTTAATTGAGAACCTTTAGTTATTGTCTATTAATTTTGGAACATTAATTTATAAACGTTATTATTATTTTTGAGGTTTGTGTTCTATACTGAATTTTCTTGAAGTAACAAAAAGGTTAGTAGAAAACATATATTTTCTTTTTTCCTGAACTTAAAATAATTATTAGAATATATTCAGAAATACATGAAATATGAGAGAATTTTTGAAAATGATATGAAATTAAGGATATGTAGTTTGAAACTAATGAAAGTAATTTCAGAGTTTCTTTAAGCCAACTCTGATTTCATTTTTTAGCATAAAATGGTATACTATTACTGTCAAAAGTAATTAATACCAACACAGTTGTTTGGAGGGAAACTTTTTCTTATACATTGTATTGATGTAGTTTTATCCTGACAAAAAGGAAAATTCCACCCCTGGTAATTACAAAGTAAGAAAATTATTACTTGAGTTGTAGAAAACATGATTTTATGTTTATGACTCTATGATATCAAATGAATTTGCAGCATCAATGCTATAATTTGCTTCAAATGGATTTGCTTATATTTATGGAAGCAATAATTTATATAGACATTGTACATAGCTGGATCTGGAAAAAACTGAAATTAAGTATTTCATTAATGTAGCTAGCTTGTTAACCTGCTGTAAGTTAATTTTTATATGCATTATCCATTCTAAGTTGAAAGTTGATTATTTTTATGATGCTGACTATGAAACACAAATCACTGGTAATATAGTGAAAGGGCTCACCATTCTGCCCCTTAACAATGCAGGGTTTAAATAGCAAATCACACATCATGTATCAATGTGACTGACATGGTTTTCTCACCGAAGGAAAGTTCAGAGCAGATGTGGGACATTTGCCCTTACTTCAGACTTGCTTCAGAAGTAAAGCCATCTGTTTCTCTCTCCTTCCCTCTTTCCCCATTCCCTCATCTCTATCTCTATTTGTCTTTCCTCACTCCACAACTCTTACCCTCCATGTCTTGCTCTCTGTAAAGACCAGGGGCTAAAACAGAGATGTGGAAAATTGGTTTTCTGAGAAGGGAAGAGTTGAGCGAGAAACAGAATCTGCTGAAGGCACCAAAATTATGACAAGAAGGCTTTCTTGACTCCTCATCTAAATGAGAGTGAAGTGATACTTACTCCGTGTATACTGGCCATATGCTGGTGATTCTGAAAACCAATCCATGGGAGCATGGTCTGTGAACAACTACAAGTCACAGATGAGGCTCCTAGATGTTTTATTGTTGTTGATCACCCTGGTGATTCAATGACTTTGACACAACATTTATTGTGCTTTGAGTAATTGATGTTTTGCACTAAAACACATTCTTAACAATAAGTAGCTTACCTGTTCTGGATTTCATTTTTTGGTAATTTTTCTTTTAAATCAACCTACAAAGTCTGAGCAACAGTGAACTGTGGGTAGGAGAATGACTGGCACACTTTAAAGAGGTTTAGTTAAACCTGACATTGGCTTATGCATATCTGGACAAGAACAATACATCTTCAGAATGGGCATTTACAGTCAACCACTGTTACCATTATGAAGAAAAACATAACAAAACTGGGATTTGTAGTGCCTGGAGGAAGCCATTCTATTTCCTTTCCTATTCTGAGTTTTACAAGTAAACATACTGAAGAAGAAAAGTGGGTGTGTGTGTGTGGGGGGAGCAGCTTGCCTGTGGAAGAGTTGTAAATAAATCTAGGTCTCTGAAAAAGAACATGCAAACCATCTTTTAAATATCTATTCTGATGCCAACATACAGAAGCTGCTCTTAGACTTAATCATAGAAGTGGGTTTTTTTTTTATTATTGCTGTTTGTTTTTTTTAAAAAAAACATAAAATCCATTGTTACAATGAACCAATGAACGTTTTAAACAAAAAGAGCCTCAAAGGTGCTCAAGAATAAATGATGTTTAGGGGCTCAGCTCTAAACAAAACATTTTTACCTTCCCTTTTACCCTCCCCAATGAGGCTTGAGGTCATTTTTGAAGAGGAGGTGGGAAATGTGTATGAGACATGGCCCGTGAAATGTCATTGTCTAAACTCAATCTATTCCTTGTAATATTAGCTCACAACAACTTTAATTACTTATTCTGGGGCTACACAACACCAGCCCCATCAAAAATTAGTCAAGAAAAGGAGGCTCATGAGACTCTGAACTCTAACTCTGACCTATGGGCTATTGACAGGTTTGGAGAAGGAGTCATTGTCTTTAGTTCTATATTTACTGATGAGCCTCTAGTTTCCAAATCCATGGATGTACAGATAACCCTGCTTAACCTCAATGGGCCAAAAACCAAAGGGCTGTACATGAAGAAGAGAAGTTTGTGGTTGGAAAGGGGGTAGGGTGAGAGCGATCAGTGTGTATTGATAAATAACTGAAATTATCATCAAAATTCATTAGTTTTTAAAAGAGACACATTACCATAAGAAGAGGCATGAGATTTGGCTACCAAATTCAAGGCTCCATGAAGTAGAGTTCAATAAATGACAAATCTTGGGGGAAAAAAGCAAAAGTAAAAACAAAACAAAAACACAAAACACAACAGCAAATACAACTTTCTGCTCTGACTAGTTTCCAATTATGTCAAAAGAATCTTAGAAGAGGAAGAGCTGTGTTAATAATGTTTTTTTGTTGTTTTAAATTTAGTCTTCAATAGCCATACTGGCTTTTCACAATATCATCATCTTTAAGGGGAGTCTTTCTGATACTTACCTTCTACTATAGTTCTCAATATGAGTTGTATGCATGCACTCCTAAAACCAGCTTTATGACTTGAGGATTTCCAGCCTTAGATACAAGTTCCCTCCTAAAGTTCCCTCCTAAAACCACCTTTATGACTTGAGGATTTCCAGCCTTAGATACAAAAGTTAATTGGGTACCTTTGTTCCTTAATAAAGTGTTTTATTACTTTATGAAGTGTTTTATTACTTTAAGGTTGACTATGAACATTTTACTAATGCTAATATTTTAGTTTAGAACCAAAAAGTCCCTGCTAATATAGGCTATAAAATAAGAAGCACCGTTTGAAGCTAAAATTTTCTACATGCTGTGATATAAATTTAATTTTGTATTTTATATTAGTTTTTTAAAAATATATTATTCTTGATCTCAGTCCTTTTTCATTTTATAGTTACTAGTTTGTAAAATTTAAAATAAAATATTGACAGAGACAAGGCTATTTTGTAGTTTCATAGGAGTAATAATAATTCTTTCTTAATAAATTGTAAATGTTATAAATCACAAAAATCAAAGAAATTCATTTTCATTTTATTAAAACACTTTTTAGAATGTTTTATTTTATTTTATTTATTTTAAATTACATTAATGTGTGTGTCTGTGTGTGGATCCACATGAGTGCAGCTATCCGAGGAGGCCAGAAGAGGACACTGGATTTTCCTTTTGCTACAATTACAAGTTCTGTGAGTAACTGACAGGACTTCTGGGAATTGAATGCAGGCCCTCTGCAAGAACAATACAAACCCTTAATCGACAAACCCTAGTTCCAGTCCAACATTGTATTAAATATTCTTGTTCTATCGATAGAAATAATAAATTTATAAGCATGGAGACTCATTTATTTTTGACAATATGATATCAATTTATAAGTCAATATTATGTCAAAACACTGAAGTTTTGCCCCACAGAGCATTTTTTTTTATTAGAAACAAGTGTCTTTTACATGTCAATCCCAGTTCCCTCTCCCTCCTCTCCTCCTGTGTCCCCCCACCCCCATCCCAAACCCTTTCTGCTCCCCAAGGAGGGTGAGGCCTTCCATAAGGGATCTTTAAAGTCTGTCATATCATTTGGAGCAGGGCCTAGAACTTCCCCCATGTGTCTAGGCTGAGATATTATCCCTCTATGTGGAGAGGGCTCCCAAAGTCCATTCATATACTAGGGATAAATACTGATCCACTACCGAGGCCCCATAGATTGCCCAGACTTCCAAACTGATATCCTCACTCAACGGGTCTAGAACAGTCCTATGATTGTTTCCCAGCTATCAGCCTGGGGTCCATGAGCAAATCTTTATTCAGGTCAGCTGTCCCTGTGGGTTTTTCCAGTTGGTCCTGACGGCTTTGCTCATCACTTCTCCCTCTCTCCAACTAGATTCTAGAGTTCAGCTCAGTGTTTAGCTGTGGTTGTCTGCTTCTGCTTCTATCAATTGCTGGATGATGACTCTAGGATGGCATATAAAGTAGTCATCACTTTCATTATTGCATAAGGGCATTTAAGGTAGCCTCTCTACTATTGCATAGATTCTTAGGTGGGGTCAAACCTGTAGATTCTCTTCAAACCTATAATGGCTCCCCCTATTATGGTAACTCTTTTCTTGCTCTCCTCAATTCTTCCCCTGACTAAATTTTCCTGCTCTCTCATGTCCTTCTCTCCACCCCTTTTCTCCTGATCTCTTTCTTCTAGCTCCTGCTCCTCTCCCCCCATGCTCCCAATTAGCTCAGGAGGTCTTATACCTTTCCCCTTCTCCAGGGAACCATGCATGTTTCTCTTAGGGTCCTCCTTGTTTTCTAGCTTCTCTTGAGGTGTGGATTGTAGGCTGGTAATTCTTTGTTCTATGTCTAAAATCCATATATGAGTTGGTACATACCATGTTTATCTTTTTGTGACTGGGTCACCTCACTCAGAATGGTTTCTTCTAGTTCCATCCTTTTTTTTTTAATTAGTATTTCTTACTGGGAGCATGAACTAGCACAGAGACACAGACATGCTTCTTTTATCAACAGGGTTTTCTATCCCAGGCTTAGTTGAAGAATGGAGTCTCATCAACCCACTTAAGACCCATGTTGTTGTTTCAGTGCTTAATGCTCTCCTAACATTGATATGTAGAACACAAGCATGAACCATGCCAGAGAGAAAATTTACAACACACAAATAAAGTTACTGTACCATCAGCTTCTCTCCTGATTCTGCTACCTTCTTTTAGTATTATTTCCTCTCTTAGGTAAGGGTAGGAAATCATATTTTTCTTACTCAA